CGTACGTTTCCCATTCTGGGAAGATGAACAGGTTTGAGTTATGAGTCTCAAAAACTCATTTAACAGATTTAATCTATGATTCTCAAAAATGCACTGTTATTGAATAAGAATCAACCCTCTAGTGAGTGTCCAAGACTATAAATCACATGGGAGAAGATTGTCCTTCTTTCTTCCAGGGAGTAGCTTAGTGAATTTGAACTGCCAAAGAAGACCCACCTTTGGGTTTGCAGTACAACTCCATGTGAACTACCCCACCAAAGCTCCCTACTGGTAATGTATGATTAAGCATGTATACCCAGGACTCATTAAAGCCTTAGAAAGAAAAAAAATTTTTTTTTTAAAAACTGTTCTCAAATTAAATGTTTTCAGGACTCAAACATTGTGTAATGCTCTATTGGGCCTGAATGACAAAATGACCTTGATGGCAGGTTCCTGGCTAGGCCTAAGACAGAACATAGGCCCTGATTTCCGCTCTGAAATTCTTGATGTGGTCACCTTGGGTTCTAGCAAACACCAGAGTTAACGGAAGGTTAACACAAAGGAATGAAACGTTCTTTAAAACAAGGGATATTTTGCTACATACGGGCCCAGATAAAACAAGTAGAACTAAAATAAAACATCTCCTTTTCTTTACCTTGAGAATTGAGATTTGGCAAATGTAGTTGGTTGACTTCAGGCATTTTGTCCAAAAATGGAAATGTGAGGGTTGCTTCTGGTTCTGGAGATTTTGGCTTTACTACCTGGAATGTGGAGGAGCAAATAGTATCATTGAACGTGTGTCCATTAGCAACTGCAGATAGTCAAAAGAACAGTCTCTGACTATTATTAAAGTCTACAGCCCATTCAACATTTAAATGCAGTTTTTTATTTTGTCACTTCCCAAACCCCTTTCAAACTTTACCACATTAGTACAGTGGTCAATTTTTCGAGAAACAAAACTAAAGCCTAAAATTTAGTGAATAAAGATAGTGTTTCATCTCTAGAAATGTACAGATTCTCTTACTTTCTCATTTGTCTTAACACATAGTCTGTTCTTAGTACTGTATTACACTGAATTTGCAAAGCCAGAAAAAAAAATATCTTCCTTTGTATGTAAGGGGCTAAATATAACAGCATTATTACTTCTCAATGGACATTTTCTTAAGACATTACATACAAAGCACATGGAAGTGAATATTTTGAACCTGATGGCTTAGAAATATTTTTCTAAATAAACTATTATCAAATAGTGCTATAATCATGATGTCTTCTGGGGAATTATGAGGTGTGTTAGACTATGTGTCTTTGAAGCAAAAAGTGCCAAGATTACATGCTTTTGGAATAATTTTTTTGCTCAGTGAAAAGAGAGTTTACTGTTACTGTATTATTTCTTCCCAATACAAATGATCATGAATAGAATACCTTTCTGATTTGTTGCCTCTAAACAACTGGTTACTGGGGATAAAAAGGACATTACTAAAACTAATAAAATACTGTCTAAAAAAAGAGTTAATAAAATCTCAACTTAAAACTTTTGAAGGTAGAGCCTGAGTTGTGTTCGTTCATGTCTTTTCAGGTGCTCCCAGGACTTGTCCATTCACTCTGTGACTGGCAGTTGTGTTTGATATATTGATTTGATAACAAAGGGACTTTGGCAAATGAGGCTGCATAGCTCTAATATCAAGTATGTAGCACAAATTAATGTATAATTTGGTCCTCAGGATCATTTAATGACTATATTTCTTCTTGTAGAATTTTCTTTTTTTCTTTCCTTAAGAATTACATGTATCACCCTAAGGGAACATTGAAGAAAACGCAGTCATTCATCTCCTTTTGCACTACAGATATCCAAAAGAACAAACATCAAAAGCTAAGGCCTAGAATTTTCAAAGCTGATGACCTTATTTTATTCTTACACTATTTTTTTCTCACCAGGCAGACTGACAAAAACATATTTCAGAGAATGTCCTATAGATGAAACAGTTGTCAGCAAAAATGTCCAAAGTGAAGCATGAATGTTTTGTTTTACAAAAGTAATACACCCGTTCCTCACTTATTGACGTGTTCCAAAGACCAGATCATTGTGCAAAAAATGAACAAAATGGAAAAAAAGGAGGATGACTACATCATCACATAGCTGCCAGTTTTCATCATTACATCATTGCCAAATACTATTATCGTGGATAACTTCCAAATCTCACCATGGCACAGCCAAGCTGAATACAGCAACCATCACAGACAGTAGGAATCTAGTCCTGCTCCTCTGTGTTTGTGATTGCCAGATATATGCCATTAAAGCACAAAATAATCTGATCACAGAGTTTTTACTATTGTAAACATGCAATCTCAGACAATGAGATAGTAGGTTAAGTGAGAAGTGGGTGTAGTCTCAAGTGCGTTGAGGGAGGGGGAACCCCCAAACCCCAACTATTTATAACTATAGTGAGCACTTTTCTTTCTTGACTGAATGGAGCTCTTAAAATGGAATTATCCAGTAAGAAAGTAAGAAAGGAGAGAAATTAACTTCGCCTAAACAAGAAAAGGATTGAGTTCAAAGAGTATTATTTTATTTTCAAGTATTTGGTGAGAGGGTAAGGTGTATTTGAACCTGGTATCACATGATACCAAAGGTTACTTGATAATTGCATTTTATTTTTATGAATGTCAATGTATTAAACTGAGAAGAATTTTTGCCATATGGCAAAAAATGGTCTGTGGCAAAGCAAAAACAATTCTCCCCAGAGTGACGAATACATGTAATTTGTGGTCCAAGGATGGAACACACACATGAAATGACCCAGATGAATTATGTAAATGAATGGTTTTGAGTTAATAGTTCTCATTCTGTTTGTCTTTTAAAAATTCTAGTAGTGATAAAACGTTCCCTTTCAATTTAAGTTTAAAAAGGTGAGTTTGGAAGAATAAGAGATGAAAAAGAGTTAGGAATAAAATGTAGAGAAGGCAAAACTTGCCGAAGTTGGAAACCTTCACCATACTCAATGCTGGCCTACGGTTTATTTTCTTCTTTTATACTTCTGTAGTTCTTTATGCAGAAAAATGGAAAATTGCCTAGATAAGAAATACCCCCAAGGCATCAAGGGAATCAGAACTTTTCAGGCTTTACTAAGGACACAGCAAAGCTTTCAGCTTCTGAATCAAGGCCAGCACCTGGGTCTTGTTTCTTGTTAATTAGTTCATGCCTAGTACAGTGCCTGCGGCATATAGCAAGTGCACAGTACGTATTTGTGAAGTAAATGAATGAATGAACTTAAAATGGAACTTCTAAAGTAAAATCTCAATTTAGAGTTAATAACAGGGAGTAGATTTCAGTAACTCTTAAATACGTATAAAACACATTCTTTCTAAGCACATAAAGAGATATATACACACATACATTTACTTACATATTTACATGTATTGCATGACATAATTTTGAGTGTATAATTTTATATCTCTCTATAACTCACATTTCTTTAAAAATGTACATGTAGAATATATGCAAACAGAAAAATTACAGAGAAGAGACAGAAAATAGTTGCTGTTGTTGTTAGGTGCCATTGAGTCGCAGACAACTCATAGCGACCCTATGAACGAAAGGCCTGAGCACTGTTTGTACATAGTTTCCGGAGGCAAGCCATTTCGGAAGTGGATGCCGCTCCTGCTTCCAGGCTAGAAAACAGTAGTTGAGAAATTAAATATTCACTATTAACAGTTGCCACAGAAGCATCCTGCTCCCCTGTGAAACAATATTAACTTTTAACCACTTTCGTCCACTGTTCCTTCACCTTTTGTGATAGCACCAACTCCACCTTTCCGCTCATTTCATGTTCCATTTTCTGCTGATCTTTTTCTTCAGGCACACTGCTTTTTAGTTGAGGGCTAGAGGAAAGCTCCACAAAGGCCACAGTCGGGCTGGATCGAGTCACGGTTGTTGTAAAATGCTGTGGCTCTGAAATGACGTTACATCCAGAAAAAATAAAGAAGAAAGAGATAATCATCTAAAGCCATTATTTTACAATTCCACAAAGTGCATTAGCCCATATCCTGCCCTGGAAGTAAAAAAAGTTGGATTGCAAGAAAATTCTGGCAAAACTGTGGCATAAATAAGCCATCGTTTCACTTTCTCTTGGAAAAGACAACAAGATATGGTGCTTAGATTTGATAGATTCAGAATAGGAGCAGAGAACAGAAGAGAATTGCAGACAGGCAAGAAATAAGCAAATCAACAAGTCATGTATATCAGGCTGGGCCATTCTTTGGAAAGGGACATCATGTTTGGAAAGATAGATGGTCAATGAAGGAGAGGAAGACTCCTAATGATATGATTAACATGGAGTTTTCAGTAATGGACTCTAGTGTGTTTAGTTGTGTCAGAGATGAGGAGAACGGCATAGAATAGGGAAGAGTTCAGGTGAGTTGTTCAAAGGGTAGCTATGAGTTGTGCTCAATAGACCTGGCAACAAAAACAACAACCCCTCCACAACCTAGTAATTGTCAGCTGCTAGAATGATTACAGAAGTCTCTGTTACAGACATATCTGTAAGTGAAGGTGGATGACCTTGTGGAAACAGAGTTAGTGAGATACTAAGACCAGCAAGACATATCTTGGAAGTCCTTGTGGGAAGTGTCAGAATTGCCCTCTCCTGAAAGAAAAGTCTTCCTGAGCTTCATTGAATGTCTAACAGCAGGGTGCAAATCACAGGCAAAAGTAGAGGATGACATTCATCTTAGAAGAGGCCTTACTAGGTGTAGGCTTTCTAACTAATAACACAATTGCAGGGTTGTAATTTTCATAATATTGAGTCTTTCCATGAACAGGACACACATTTTTCCATTTTGATTAGGTTTTTTAAATCGTGTGTTACAAAAATGTTCTGTAGTTTTCTCTGTATAGATCTTTTGTGTCTCTAGTTAGGTTCACTCCCAAGTATCTCAATTTGTGGTTGGATATTGTAAATGTTATTACTTTCTTGGCTTCCTTCTATGAGTTCTTTTTGTTACTGTGGAGTAATCCTACTGATTTTTCTATTGACGTTGCATGTTGCCACACTACTAAACTAGTCCAATAGCTCTAACAGTTTTATTGTTGAGCCCATGGTGTTTTCTGTATATAATATCTTATCATCTGCATATAGTGACAGTTTAACCATTTCTTTGCTGATCTGATGATCTTTGATGTCTTTTGTGTCCTTTCCTTTTCAAAAGCAATTTACAAGTTCAGTGCAATCCTAATACAGACATCAAAATTCTTTTTCAAAGATATTAAAAGGGAAACTGTCAAATTTATTTGGAGAGGAAAGGACCCCAAATAAGCAAAGCAATTATAAAAAACAAAAACAGGCATAGCACTTCCTGACCTAAAAACCTACTACACAGCGGTAGTTATCAAAACATCATGGTACTGATACAATGACAGGCATATTGACAAGTGGAAAAGAATTGAGAACCCTGAAATGGACCTCTCTACTTATGGTCACTGATATTCAATAGGGGAAATGTTCAATATTCAAATGGGGAAATAACAACCTCTTCACAAATGGTGCTGACAAAACTGGACTTCCACCAGCAGAAAGCTGAAACAGGATCCCCATCTCACATCATACACAAAAATGAACTCAAGGTGGATCAGAGACCTGGGAGTAAAGCCCAAAACCATAAAGTTCATAAGAGACAAACTGGGATCAAGCTTAGATGGCCTAGTCTATGGTATAAAGAGATTGCTAAATACAGCCAGAAATGTACAGTCTGGAAAGCATTAAACTGATGAATGGGACCTTCTAAAGATTAAATCTCTGTGCTCATCAAAAAATTTTTCCAACAGGGTGAAAAGAAAACCTACTAACTGGGAACAAGCATTTGGCAATACCATCTCAGACAAAGGTCTCATAATAAAAGTTTACAGAATTGTCCTGGGCCTTCAGAAGAAAAAGACTGATAACCCACTTATAAAATGGGCAAAAGACATGGAAAGACTTTTCTCAAAGGAAGACATTCAGCTAGCCAACAGATACATGGAAAAAATGCTCAGTCACTGGCAATAAGAAAAATGAAAATAAAAACCACAATTAGAAATCATTTCACCCCAGTAGCAGTGGCAAACTTTATTAGGGCAGCAAGCAATAAATATTGGACATGATGTGGAGAGGTAGGGACTCTCATATACTGTCGGTAGGATTGTAAAATGGTACAACCACTTGAGAAGATAGTCTGGCGTTACCTCAAAAAGTTGAAAATAGAAACTTCATATGACCCAGCTATTTCACTGCTAGGAATATACCCAAGAAAATGAGAACTGAGACACAAACGGATATTTGTACACCAATGTTCAGAGCACTGTTATTCATCATAGAAAGAATGTGGAAACAGCTCAGGTGTCCAACCACAACTGAATGGATTGAGAAATTGTCATATATTCACACAATGAAATACTGCGCAGCACTCAGGAGCAACAATTTTGAAAAATTCCACATAACTTGGGAGAGACTGGAGAGCATTATGCTGAGTGAACTAACACAGTCGCATAAAGACAAATACAACATAAGACCATTATTGTAAATATAGAAAGATAACTAGTAAAACATGTATGGGAACCCAATGTGTGAGGATGAGTAGTGGCAAAACCACAGAGTTGCACAGTTTGATGAGCGAAGGGAGAAGGGGAAGGAAATGGGAAGGATCCAGGTGAAAAGACTGGATAATGAGGGGCAAGGTCCAATGTTGATTAGTTTTCTAAAATGTAATGCATGAGAATGAGTGTATGAAACACAAGATAAATGATGAATATTGTGAAACACAATGTATACGAACTTTGTAAGCAACACCATCATCATCATCATCACAACCAACAAAACCCCCCATGATTGCAGAAACAGAAGGGAAGAGAGTAATAAAAAGAGGGAATTGTGTTTTCTATTGGATAATCAATTACTACATGACAGCTCCCCTGAAGGGCAGTGCCAGTTGGTGGACAGGCTGACCACTGCATGTTCTCTGGTGAGTTTCAAAGAGATTGAAAATAAAAATCTATATATTCTTAATCCCAATTAAACCAGGAAAGGAAAAGAAATTACATGAGAGGGAGAAGAAATTGTACGAAAAAACCCAAAGGCTCTGCCTATCTAAGTAATTCTTACTAAGTACTGTGGGCTACACCAGCAAATATTCAAAGTCAATATCCTTGGAAATTCCAGTGTCACAACAACAACAACAAAAATCACAAAACACACACAGAAATATTGCATAGTGCCACTGTTGTAAAAAAAGACTGACATTGGGGTTGGGGAGAGACTCAGAAAGATGGGATAAATTATGTATACCACATTGAAACAGATAAGGGAGAGAACTGTTTAAAAGGGATATGTGATCAGGTATTATTGTCATGACAGGAGTCCAGAACGAAGGATGATAGTGGAGTGGACTTGTGGGGAGGGATTGTATAACAATGAAAGATTTTCTTCTTTTACTTTTCAAAGGGAAGGGCACACTAGGGGAGGGGAAGAGGTTGGGCAGAGAGAAAAGTACAACAATGAATGAATGGAAATCCAAAGTCTCTGTAAACTTTCACTGAAGTGAATAATAATAATAAAAAAGAAATACTCCAGAAAAGCAATGGTCCATTCAAATGGACAGCAAAGGGCGTGGTGGTGGTCATACTACAACACCAAACACAATTAAAGAACTAAGAAAACCCACAAATAACTAAAATATGTTGGTAAAACAAGTCAATGACAAAATGAGGATCTAAATAAATTATGTCTTGCCGTTGAAAGAGACAAGAACTGAGATGAGAAACAAACAAACAGGAATTAACAGTAGTGTGAATTAGGAAGAAAACATTAATGAATTGAAAGGAAAGATAGTTAAAATTATAGATGCTGAAAAGCAACTAAAATGAGGTGTAAGAAGGCAAAGCACAATGTAACGGAATTATAGAACAACAGAAAAACACAATATACAGAGTATAGAGTTCCGGGAGGATTTTGAGATACAGAAAGACATGAGCAGAAAATGTGAATAATGACAGGAAATTTCTCCAATCAAAAAAATCCAAGCAGCTCAATGAATTCCAAGCAGGACAAACTCAATGGAATCTACACCAAGACACATCATAGCTAGGTGTTCAAAAATGAAAAGAAAACGCTGAAAAAGAATCCTGAAAGTGATAAGAAAGAAGCAAATTGTCACATAAAAGGATCCAAGTAAGACCAAGTTCCGATTTTTCCTCAAAAACATTGATTGGAGGCTGTGGCTTCCAATGTATCCTTCTAAAATACACCTATATCATTACAATGATATATTTAATGTGATGAAAACAAGAAGCAAAACAACTCTCAGTCAGAAACACTAAACCCAGAATGAAGGTGAAATGAAAACATTCCCAAATAGAAGCCGAGAGAGTTATATATAACAAATGAGCCTAAATAAAAAACAATTCTAATTAGAGTTTTTTTAGATGGAAGGGAAAAGATACTAGACCATAGATTATGAAAACAAAGCTTCCTAAAAAAAAAGGGAAAGGTATGGAGTAGTATAAGGGCTAGTAATAAGGCACTCATGCTTGAAACCTACATATTTTTCCTTTATTTTTTTAATAACAAATACATAAAGGTAGGTACAATATTATGATATGGGGCATATGAAGTATGAGACAGAATGACAAAAGTTGAGACCAGTAGGTATAGATGCAACTTATTGTATGTTACTTAAGTTAAACTGGTATCAACTTACTCTGGCACATTATTTTCAAAAAGCCCTTAAATAAAATATTCACAGTAACCACTAAGGAAACAAACATTTAAAAAATATATAAAAAAATGAAAGGAAAAAGGAATTAGAATACTACAATGAACAAACAAAAAGCCCGAGCAGTACTACAGGGCAAAGACAAGGGGTTAGTACACACAAAAGCAAATATCAAAATGACAGCTGTAAGTCACTTTATCAGGAATTACTGTCACTGTAAACAGATGAAATGCTCCTTTAAAAACCAAAGAGCAGAATGGATAAAATAACAACAACAAAACAAACAAAAATATAATGCTAATATATTATATATAATATAAATTATATACAGATGGTATTATTATTATACATGAATATATTTTTACAAAATAATACAGATTGTATTATTATATATTAATATATTTTTACAAAATAAAAAAATATAATGCAAATATAAGAGGCAAATATTTAACCTCATGGTGCAAATGAATTGGAAGTGAAAAGATGAAAGTGAAAATTTCCAAGAAATAATAACCAAAAGAGAGCTGAAGTGGCAATCTCAATATTAGACAAAGTAGACATTAAGATAAAATCTATTAAGTGAAATAGATTTTAATAGGGTCAAGAATATTTACAATCATAACTGTATATGCATCTAAAACCAATATTGGGACGCCTAAATAAAGGCAACAAACACTGAGAGAACTGAGATTATTTACTATATTTTGAGGCTTCAGTATACCACTTCCAGAATAGGAAAGAAAAATCTAGAAAAATAGATCAACAAGGAAAAGGAAGAACGAAATAACAGGCAAGGAAGGTGAAACTCTGTGTTTCACCTTTTGTGTTTCACCTATACTCTCGGCGTGTTGTAAGGAGGGGCCAGTCCTTGGAGAAGGGCATCATGCTTGGAAAGGTAGAGGGTCAGCATAAGGAGATGGACTGACACAGTGACTGTAACAGGGGGTTCAAATATATTGGAGATGATAAGGACGGCAGAGGACGGGACAAGGTTCAGATCCACCATTCATAGGATTGCTACGAGTTGTTTTTGACTTGATGGGCCTAGACTTAAAAGGCTAAACCCCCAAACAAACAAAAAACCAAACCCAAATGAATCTGTCTTGAAGGACGTAAAACCAGAGCATTCCTTAGTTGGCAAGAATGGAGAAATTCTGACTCCCTTTGGGCACATTTTCAGAAGGAACCAGACCTGGGAGAGACATTGTTCTCAGAGAGGTAGCAGGTCAATAAGGGAGCATAAGACTCGACAAGGCAGACTGACATCGTGATTACCACTATGGGTTGAGAAGGACAGAGGTCATGAGGATGGCACAGGATAGAGCAAAGTGTAGAACTGTTGTTCACAGAGTTGCTATGAGTCACAGTCAATTTGATGAGTCTAACAACAAGAAAAACCCAAAACAGCACAATTCACATTCTATACAAGTGCACATGAGTTATTTTGAAGGACAGAAAACATTTCAGGTTAAAAACAAGTCTTCATAAGCTTAAAAAAGATTGTAATCAAGAGATTAGTGGATGGATGGATGGATGGATGGATGGATGGATGGATGGGGGAAGGGAGGGGGGAATACAGCGAGGATCTGATGAGACATGATACATAGCAGTGACTGATCTTAATTAATGTTGTAAAACTAAATGTGTATGAATGATTTAACAAAAGCAATTAAAGTGAAAAGATAGAAATCTTTATTTCAATTCTTTCCAGGTTGATCTTCCCTTGTCTTGATCCTTGAAGTGTCCTTTATCTACCCATTCCATTTCTATTCCTCCCCTCTTCTCCTCCTCACTGTACAATGGAGTAAAAAATGACTTATAACTAAATTTTCTAGTGAGTGTTCAGAGGCAGTTAATCTCATAGGAGGAGACTGCCCATCCTTCTCTAGCAGAGCAGTTGGTAGATTCGAATTGCATATCTTTGGGATTAGAGCACAGCTACTTCCCAATCAGACACTAGTAAGTAAATAGGAACAAGATGCGCGTGCGTGTGTGTGTGTGTGTGTGTGTGTGTGTGTGTGTAACTGTTTTAAAGGGAGACAGGAGAAAAGGTGTGGAAGAAAAAAAGGAAATCACAAGGACAGCAAAAATGTGGGTAAAGGAACAGGTAAGATGCAATGGAGACTTGAGGAGACAGGGAGATAAAAGAAATAGATCAACAGTAAAAGAAAGTGTACACAAATGAAACAGTGTATATGAAAGATTATACAAAAATGAACAATGGTATAAATAATTAAGAAAAAATATTGAAATCATACAAAACATTTTCTTTGACTAACAATAGAGTGAAGATAGAAAGAAATAACAGAAACAAACAAAACTCCCCTCATAGAAGTATGCATAAATATATGGAAATAAAACAGCACACAGTAAAATTACCAAAGGCTCAAGGAAGAAGTTAAAAGAGAAATTAAAATCTTCTTAGAGTCAAATCAAAATGAAAGCACAAAAATAAAAATAACTATTAAAAAATACCCCAAAACTCAAAACACACAAAGGTCTCAGATTAATAGCTTTATTAAGAACGAACACAGCCTAACTAAAAAGTGAGAAGGGAAATAACCAAGATCCAAACAGAAGGAAATTAAACTGAAGACAGCAAAACAATAAAGAAAATCAACAAAATCTAAACTTGCCTCTTCAAAAAGATCGATAAAATTGACAAATCTTAGCTAGACAGAAAAGTTGTAAATAACCAATATTTTAACATGAGAAGTATTTCATTTTTACAATTGATGCAACAGAAATAGGACTATTATAAGACTATTATGAACAGTTTGTATGTCCACAAACTGGATAACTTAAATGAAATGGATTGATTCCTAGAAGCATATTAACTTACAAAACTGACTCAAGAGGAGATAGAGAGTCTCAGCAAACACATGACAAACAAACAGCTTGAATCAGTAATCAAAAACATGACAACAACAACAGCAACAAAAAGTCCTGGACAAGATAACTTCATTTAGGAATTCAACCAAGAATTTAGAGAATTGATACCAATAATGTCTAAACTTTTCAAAAAACTAAAGCATAAATAAATGTTATTCTCTCATTCTATTCTTGGTCTTTTGGCAAAGGTCAAGTAGAAAATTTCAGTGAGAAATAGGATGAGGAAATGGAATATGTATGGGAAATCGTGTTTATGAACATTTGCACTGTGACCATAAAAACTGGATGTGCGTGGGGCTGTTTCTCAAAAGGAGAAATGGTTTGAAAAATGCAGAGAAATAGTAGCTTAGGGAATTATCTTATAGGGAGTGCCAGTGATGCAGTGGGTAAATGCTCACTGCTCACCAAAATGAGGAGGGTTTTCTCAGTCTCACTACAGGGGAAAGGACAGTCTACTTTTGTAAAAATTCCTCACAAAGATCTCATTGCCAGAGTGAAACTGCCCCATAAGGTTTCTAAGACTTTAATCTTTATGAACAGTTTAACTCCATCCTATGTGGTTGCTATGAATTCAAATAAATTCTACAGCAACAGATAGCAAGGGTTCCTTAATCTAAGCAATGGATACAGTTCACTCATGTACACTAGCCAGGCTTGTATTTTCACTTTACTATTTCAATCTGTAAGTTTTATCATTGCAATATCTACCTTTATGACTTATTTTTTATTTATGTCATATATTGCTCCTACTGTGGGTTAGAATAATATCTTCTAGCTCTGGTGGCCTAGTGGTAGGAATTGTGCTGCCAACTTAAAGACCCAGGGTTTGAATCCAACAACTACTCCATAGGAGAAAGATGAACAATCTTCTCCCACACAATTTACAGCCCCTGAAAAAGTGCTGGAAGGTAAGTGATGAGTTGGTTCAGACTTAATGGTACAAACAAGCCTATGGGTATATGTACTAGTTACACCTATAATTTTTAGCAATATTTATATGGTAAAAGAACGATATACTTTCCTTTTTTTAAAAAAAAAGTCTCTTTTATGTTGATTTGCTTAAAAAGTTCATATACATTGTGTTTCACATTATTCTTCATATTGTATTTTACACAATAATGATATATTTTCAAAAAATAAAGCAAGGCACAGAAAAGCTGGCATTTGAGAGAAGAATTAATCAAGAGAGTCACTGAATTTCCATTTGAGACAATTTGAAACTTTAGAAGTGGGTGATAGTACTACCTGGTAAATGTAATAAGGTCAAGATGCCAAGCTTTTTCCTATATATGTTCACCGTAATAAGTTCAAAAACAGTAACACAAAAGCAAGGGGCTCCTATTTTTGCAGCAAAATTAACCATACAATCGGTATTGCACCAGGAAGCCTCTAGGTGGCAGTACAACTACAACAGTTACAGAGACTAACCTTTGTGACTCAGGAAGAGAAACCCTAAGTCTCTGTAAACTTTCATTAAAATTAATTTTTAAAAAGTAAGGAAAAGGTATCAAAAAGTAAAAAGTAGTGATAAAGTTTGAAAAAGAGAAGGACAAAGAGTTTTTAAACAGGAAGTATTATAAGGGTTTGTGAGACAGTAATTCATAGTATAAAAGAAAGTGTATGTAATGATAAAATGTGCATGATTGAAAAGCAGTATGACTTGTAAATTTCCACTCAAATTTAAAAAAGAGTTAGATTTTTAAAATTATCATAAAAATGGGGGGAATTATCATGATTAATCCTAAGAATTGTATGTCATGAAACACACCTGCTGTAGCAAATTCTTCATTTTCTTTCCCAGGTTCTCCATCATCATTCTCAGCCTCCTGACTGTTCTGTTCAGCTTCCTCAGTGGTTGCCTGAAAAAAAAAAAAGGAATTTTCTTCCTTAAACAAATTGTCCTTTTATTTTGGGAAAAAAATCCCCGAAAACAAAACAAAACCAAATAAAAAAAACAAGTTCTAAAAAGTCAAAGATTTTCTATTTTGATAGAACTTTCTAGGCTTACATAATAAATTTCTCATTTGAATTTATCTTAAACATTGGGTTATAAACCCGCACTTGCATATGTTTTTGTTGGTGTTAGGTGCCATCAAGTCAACTACAAGGCACAGGGATGCGATGAACAGAGATGTGAACCTTGTCTGCTCTGTACCATCCTCACCATCTCTGGTACCCACAAGCACATTGTTATAGTGACTGTATCAACCCACCTTTTTGAGGTTCTTTTCCTTCTCTGACCCTTCATCTTTTTCAGTATGGTATGTTTCCCCCAGGGACTGGTTCCTCCTGAGAACGTGCCCCAAGTATGAGTATGTGAGATGAAGTTTTATCACCCTTGCAAGCTCCTTATCATTGGGCCACCAAAGCTCTCTTGTCTCTAAAAAGCACCCTGGTTGCATTTCCTCCAAGGCAGATCTGCTTGTTCTTTTGGCAGTCAAGGGGATTTTCAAGACTCTTCTCCAACATCACTATTCAAAGGCATCAATTCTTTTTCGATCTTCCTTATTCATTGCCCAATGACTAGATGCCTAGGGAGCAACTGAAAAGACCTTGGCTTGGATCAGGCACACCTTAGTCTTTAAACTGACATCATTCCTCTTTAGCACTAGGAGAAGTCCTTGGCAATAGATTTTCTCAATGCAACATATCTTTAAATTTCCTGATTGATGATGCTGTGAGTGTTGCTGCATTATAGATATGGCACAACCTTGCTAACAGATACTGAAGAACACACACACACACACACACACACAC